CAGGAGCCCTGGCCCTGCCCCACAAGCTGGGTGGGCAGCAGGGCCCAGAGAGGCTCTGGTTTACTCACCGGTGGGCCTGCTTCTCCTGGCTCTCCCCTGTCACCCTTCTCTCCTCTGCCCCCAGCAGGGCCTGGCTCTCCCTTCATGCCAGGAGCTCCATCCTTCCCTGGCAGCCCCTGAGGCCCAGGGGGACCCATTTCTCCAGGCTTGCCACGTGGGCCCTAAATGAAATTCACACAACAAACAACTTAGAGACAGAGTAAGGCTCAGAGCCTCCTTTATCTGCTCATCCTTCCCCTCCCAGCTACACCCTTGGGACACAGGACAAAGCAGCACTGCCATGACAAATGCTAGGACACTGACAAGCCATTAATGCTCCTTCTGTGAAGCAAAATCCTCTTTTTCCTCGTGGGAAAAGCAACAGTGTGGTGTCAGTGCAAGAGCTGACCCAGGTAAGAGCTTTGAGCCTCACCTTTTCTCCATCGTGGCCTGGAGGACCTGGCAAGCCAATTTCACCCTGAAACACAGAATTGTTACTTTGGCACTTGGAAAGCAGCTATTCTGACTCCTTCTGTGGGGCACTGGGATCAAAAAGGGCAGGCATTGCAGAAATAGCCTGCATGGACTACTCACAGGAAAAAAAGGCATGAAAAACCCAAATTTTTTTCCCGTAATCACCAAAAATAAAACATGGAAATCCCTGGGGTTTTCTGCAGTCATAGAATTAAAAAAAAAACCAAACAAAAAAACAAACCTAAAAAAACCCAAAAAACAAAACAAAACAAAAACCAAACCAAATAAAAAAAATTAAGAAACACAACAAAACAATAACAAAAAAAAAACCAAAAACACACACAAAAAAATAAAACATGGAAAGCCCTGTTGAAACATTACATTATGGGACTGCCTGATCATTTTTCCCAATCTTGTTGATCCTGAGTGCCAGATCACAGCCCCAGTGCAGTCATGCAGCCCCCAGCCAACACAATCCCACAGTTTGGTTCCCACAAGCTGCTTCCTGAAGGGGAGGGCAAGGAGAAAGGATCCTTCATCTTTCAGATTAGGCATTATCATTGTGGGAAAAGAGATTTTCAGGATATTACTGTGTGTGAGGAGGAGTGGCAGAGGACAGCAGGACAATCTGATAGTGCTGGACAGGAAATATTGGAGCACTGGGAAGAGCTGGGGGTGGGAATTCTGCCTGGGCCACTCCTGTGTTTCCCTGAGGTTTCCAAGAGCTGAACTGGGACAATACCTTCTGTCCTGGTGGCCCTGGAGGCCCAGCCACACCTGGACGTCCTGGGGGTCCCTAGATAAAGAAAAAAAAAAACATTCCCGTATTTGTATTTTTGTGGTTTGAAACCAAAAACCCCTCCCTAAGTTTAAGGGGCAATCACAGAGGAATATTCCAAGGGATTCCTAAAATCCTATTTTGCTGGGGAGATGAGCAATGGGGAGCCCTGAGAGCTGCTCTTCCCTGCTCCCTCTGAGCAGCATGTGTGACCTCCTAAAGCAGAGAGATGAAAGCCCTGATCAGAATCCAAGTGCCAGGATCAGAAGGCAAGAGGAGCTCTTCTTTCAGCTGTCAGCTGCCCCAGCTTCAGCTCCCAACTGCACTTAAATTGTCAGGCCATCTGCTTAGGATGGACATATGGCTGCTTGTGTAAAACCCCACAGCATGGACAGGAACTCACCATCAAGGCCAAAGTTCGTATTTCCTAGAAAAAAAAAAGTGAAAAAAAATTAAAAAAGAAAACAGCCATTGGAAAACTTAAGCTTTTTCCTGGAGCTGGCTTGTTCTCCACTAATGTAACAGTGGTCCAAATGAGTAATGAGCTTACAAAATTAAGAAGAGGGAAAAAAACCCCAAAAGCAACCCAAACTAAAACTCACTTCAAGTCCCACAGAGAATTCTACAATTTCTCCATTTTCCAAGTGGAGCCCAGGCCAGCCCAGGCACCCCATGCTCCCATTCCTTGTGAGGAAGCTTTGGTGGCTTTATTCACCACTCCCAGGGCATTGATGGGACCCCTCTGTCCCCCAGTGTCACTGCACCAGCCCAGCCACTGTGGCATCCACATCCTCTGGAAAAACCCCTTTGCTCTTGGGAAGCTGAGAAGCCTTTGAGAAAAAAGAAAACAATTTTTATCTCATTTGCTTCTCCTGTGTTGTGCTCATGTGGAATGTGTTTGGAGATTGTTCACTCACAGGTGATTGTTTGACTGGATTTCAGTGTGAGTTGTTTTCACTCTTTGGCCAATTGGGGCCAAGCTGTGCTGGGACTCTGGAAAGAGTCACAGGTTTTCATTATTTTTAGCACTTTGTATCTTTTCCGTATTCTTTAGCATAGTACAGTATTTTTTAATATAATATAGTATCATAAAATAATAAATTAGCCTTCTGAGAACATGGAGTCAGATTCATCATTCTTTCTTGCCACGAGGGTCCTTGCAAATACAACACAGCCAGAGCACAGGAATTCACCAAAACACTGCAGGCAGTGAGCTCTGGGATCAAGGGGCACAACCAAAGCTTCCCTTTGCTGCTGCTGCTCAGGAAGCAGATCTGCTCTGTTCCCTGTCTGCATCCCTTGGGGAACAGCAAAGCATCCAGCAGACACCTCACAGGACAGGAGGGAGCTGCTCACCTGCAGAGCTTCACTGATGTTCCCATCATAGTCCATCATTTCATCCTTCCCAGGTTCTCCTTTGGGGCCCTGCAAAACACCAGGTCTTCAGCCAGGGGCTGGCACTGCCCTTCCCTGTGGCTCCCTCTGAAAAAGGGGCTCAGAGGGGGCCATCTCACCAGTGCCCAGTTTTTCATTTATTAGAGAAAGCCCCTGCAGTGCAGGAGATTCCACAGAATTACAGCCAGCTCAGCTCACCATGTCACACCATCAAAGCTGGCAGTCTGGGAAGAGCTGAAGTTGAGGCCAGAATCCAGAAATTGGATTGTCTGACCAGCTGTTAAATGTGTGCATGCATCCACCCTCTTGCTGCCCTTTTCTGGTAGTCAAGGGCCTGAGTCCACACTGGGATGTCCAAACACACCTCCTCCTATGGATGAGCCACCCTGAGATGGCCTGGGAAAATGTTTCCCTCTAATGTAGGCTGAGGGTGTGGAGTGCAGAAAGAGCCCACCTCAAATTTAGCCCCTGCCCATCCGTGAGTACTCTCAGTGACAGCAAGACCCAGTCTGGGCTGTCAGTGAGGTCCCACTGCCCTCAGAGCCCTCTGAAGGGCCAGAACTCTGTCAGTGAAGGAACACCTACCCTTGGGCCCATGGGTCCCTGGTCTCCTGGTGAGCCACGTTCCCCCTGAAACAGGAAAGTCACAGTTTTAGCAAAGCTTCACTTTCTTGAACTGCAGAAATCACACTCTGCTGGTTCTCTGGAACAGTCTGGGCTAGACAGCTTGACTTAAAATTCTCCTTCTCAGCTAAGTTTGGTACACACAGGAACAAATGAGCAGCTCCTGAAGCTGGGAGCCCAGAGCTGGGCTGTGCAGAGGCACTCCTCACCTTTTCTCCCTGTGATCCTGCAGCACCAGGCTGACCAACGTCACCAGCTTCTCCCTGGCAGGGAGAGAAAGGAGAGGCAGGGGTCTGTGTTGTGCTCAGAGGGTGCAACTCCCCTGCTGGCTTTGCATTTCCAGGAGGGAGAGCTGCAGAGCTGCACCAGCCAAGATGCTTCCTGTGCTCCCTTCTCCTCAGACAGCCCAAATCTCCTGCCACCACTGCTCACCAGGCACCCTTCTGTTCCACCCAGTGCAGAGGGACTGCTCACACTGGTTTCTCACAGAGGTTTTTGAGCACAAGAAGGGTATTTTTCCTTCCAAAAACAGTTCACAAACTCTCTCACCTGCAGCACACAGAACAACAGTACTGGAACACTCTGTGGAACCTCCAGCAGGTGATCACAGGTGGGCACACATGAACACAACCTTTGCTCCTTCCCACACACCTTGTGCTGGGCACAGCCCCTCACAAGCCAACTCTGGGAAGGAAAAACCATTCACCTTTGGTCCAGGGGGTCCAGGCAGACCTGGAGGGCCAGGTTCTCCTTTAGCTCCCACCAAGGCATTCTCAGCAATTCCCTTCTCTCCCTGTTGGCAAAAAGAACAAGCCATGCTTCTCAGTTCAGATTCTGCACCTCTGTACGTTCACTTGCTAAAACACTGGCTCAGAGAGACACAGCCAAGACAAGATCCATCAGCTGGACTCCTGACAGCCCAGAGAGCAGCAGCTGGCCAGGAACCAGGACAGCAGGTCCTGCTGAGGGTCCTTGTGGAGCTCTGCCAGCAGCCAGGGCCACACTCATCCCTCTGGCTGCACCAGGCTCCTGTGGACAGCCCTTATCCCCCAGCCTCCCCCTGAACACTGCTCTGCTGATGAAGCTGAGCTGATTAAACCACCTGATTGATGATGGTTCTTTTGGAATGCTCCCCCTGGAGCTGTAGCCACCAGCCCTGCACACCATGTCCTTTGCACAGAGCAGATAACAAGGCAGCAACAGCAAAGCTTTGCCATTACACCCTCACCCCATCCTGAAATGGCCACTGGCATTCACTGCACTGCCCCCTTTCCCAAAGGAAAAGCAGCCTGTGCAAGTCTGGTTTGAAAGGTGTGATTTGCACCTGGAAATCTCAGTGCACAGGGGAAAAACCAGTTCAGGGCTGAGCTTTGTCTGAGCTGCCCTGGGTCTCTCTGAGCACAGCAGTGCAGCTCCCCACAAGCCCAGCTCCTCATCATCCATGGATCTTGGAGCAGGAGGGAGGCTGAAATGCCACCTTACATCTGGGGTCATGGTTTTAGAGGGGAATTACTGGAACACGATTCCGTGGTCCTGCTCCCAGGACCACAACCTCCCCCTCACTGCATTCCTGCAAAAAGGCATCTTTTGTGAGCCTCCCTCACACCCTGACATTCAGCTGAGCAGTGCACGACACGCTGCCACAGTCAGCTAAGAATGCGTGAAATGCACAGGAGGGAGGGAGGAAAAGGGGTGCGTGTGGCCCCATCCAAAAAAAAAAACCAAAAAACCAAAAAACAACAAAAAACAAAAAAACCCCACAAAACAAAAACAACAACAAAAAACCAACAAAAACAAACAAACAAACAAAAAAACCCACCCAAAAAACCAAAAAACTCACCAAAAACAAACAAGCAAAAAAACCTCAAAAACCACACACAAAAAACCCAAAAAAAACAAAACAAAAACCAAAACACAAAAAAACCCCCAAAAAGCCCACCAAAAAGAAACAAAAAACCCCAAAAACACACAAAAAAACCCAAAAACCAAACAAACAAAACCCCCCCCAAAAACACACCAAACAAAACCCACAAAAAAATCAACAAAAACTATACAAACCCCCCCCCCCAAAAAAAAGGAACCAAAAAAAACAAAACCAAAAAAAAAAAAAAAAAAACAACCAAAAACCCCTAAAATTCAGGAAAGAGACAAACCTTTGGGCCAGGAAGTCCAGGAATTCCAGGGTCACCAGCTCGTCCCTTCTCACCCTGTTGGCAAAACAGACATGGTCAGGGCTGACTCTGCAGGCTCCCCATCCTGGAGAAGTGATCTACTCCTGGTCTCGCACCCTCTTTCCCTTCCCCAGGGATTTTATTTTGGGCACAGACCTTGAGCAGGACCAGCTCAAGACATTACACGGTTTTTACCCAAGCTTCTGACTATTTCTGCGCATCACTGCCATTTCTTTTCAAAAGAAGGTGAATGAGAAAGGGATCCCATGCATCTTCCTTACCCCTCTGGTCTGCTGAACACTTTTCCCTGTCCCTTCTCCTGCAGAGGCTTTCCCTGATCCATATGCCCACAGGAGCTGTTGCTCAGGGTGATTTTTAGCTGCAGTTCAGGGCTCTCTCCATGCCCTGCTCCTGTTCCCCAGCTCCAGATCCCAGCCTCACCATGCTCCCAGGCAAACCCCAGCAGAGCAGCACCCCAGCTGGCAGCCAAGCTCTGGGACACACGCTGGCCATGGAAGCAGTGAGGACAGGGGGGGCAGAATGGCAAAGGCAGCAGCTGATGGTGCAAGGTGATGCCTGCAGAGCTGCAGGCTGAGCTGAGTGAGGCACCAGGGAGGATTTCACCAGGGGCAAGGAGCAATGGAGAGCATCCAGCATTCCCTTGGTGAAGTGGCTTTGCTCACACCTGGGCCATATTTTCCATATTGGAGCTCAATTACTGGTCTGTACATTGAAGTTAAGTTCTCCTCAGACCATTCCACCCAGCTGCTAACCCCATGGTTTCCAGGCACACTATCCTGGCTGGGAGCCTGCATTTTGCCAGGACAGAGAGAGATTGGAGGTTTCTGTTACCCTGAAGAGATGTATCAATGCATCCCCAGGGAAAGGTGTGTTCTTAGCCCCTATCCCACAGCTCCAAGACTCAAAACTTGTACGGATTCTACACAGCAACTCAAACCCTCTCTGCCCCCACAGGCCTGCAGAGGCTGTGCTGCTCATCAGAGCTCAAGGGCACTCATCCGACGTGCAGGGGACTTGCACCAATGCTCCAGGAACACACATGCACTGGTGGCTCCCTGGAAAAAAATCTACCAGGAGCAGTGTTTTTGTCAGGCAATTCTAGAGTACAGTGACCCCTTTCTCCAAGGTAATTTGGCTTCCAGCCACCTGTAAGCCCCCCCTCATCCAGCCTGCTTTCCCCTCCAGAGCATGCACATTGCTAAATTAATGCTCCTCTCCCTGGAAAGAGGGAAAACATTTTCAAGACCTCACACCCATGGAAAAGGTTTGGCATTGAAGGTTTTTGTAAAACTATAATTCTTAATCCTGTCCCAGGGCTCTGTGACTCCCTGATTCTGCCTTGGTACCCCACTTTTCATTCAAGGTCTGTTTTGAATACACGTGTCCATAAGAATTCCTGAAAACATCCTGTGCTGCCAGAACTAGGGTGCAAAGCAGTGGCTTTATGAGGAAGGAGGTCAGGTTACTGGATCCCTGTTTAGGCTGTTTCAGTGGCTCTCTTGAGGAAGGAGGTCAGGTTACTGGATCCCTGTTTAGGCTGTTTCAGTGGCTTTATGAGGAAGGAGGTCAGGTTACTGGATCCCTGCTTAGGCTGTTTCACTGGATCTCTTGAGGAAGGAGGTCAGGTTACTGGATCCCTGTTTAGGCTGTTTCAGTGGATTTATGAGGAAGGAGGTCAGGTTACTGGATCCCTGTTCAGGCTGTTATTTCTGGAGTCAGGAAAGTGGCCCTACCCTCAATCGTTCCCGGGACAAGGCTGCACCCCAGGCATCTCATGCTGCCCTGGGATGTCAGGGCACACAGGAACACACAGACACACCCTTCAGCAGGGGGGCAGAGCCAGCACAACACACACAAGCCCCTGCAAGCCCCCCAGTGCAGGAGCACAGCACTGCCAGGACAGCCAGCCCAAACACAGTGTCCTACCCGCTGCCCCCTCTTCCCTGGCACACCTGGGGGGCCCATCCTGCCTGGCACTCCAGAATCTCCCTTGGGGGGAAGAAAAGAGACACAGAACGTTGTGTTACACGGCTGTCACACGCTGTAACATAACCCAGCCAGCCCCACACAACAGGAGGAGGCAGCTGCTCTGGGATGGGGCAGTGCTCAATTTGTAGGCAACCCCAAGGAGGGGAGAGATGAGTGAATGTGACTCCATGCTCCTAGAAGGCTGATTTATTATTTTATGTTACTATATTATATTAAAGAATACTATACTAAAGAATAGAGAAGGGATACAGACAGAAGGCTACAAAGGATGAAAAAAAACTCGTGACTCTCTCTTCCTCCTGACACAGCCTGACAGTGATTGGTCATCAAGTCAAAACAATTCACATGAAACCAATCAAACCACCACCTGTTGGTAAACAATGTCCAAACCACATTCCAAAGCAGCAAAACACAGGAGAAGCAATCAGATAATTATTGTTTTCCTTTTCTCTGAGGCTTCTCAGCTTCCCAGGAGAAGAAATCCTGGGGAAGGGATTTTTCAGCAAATGTGACAGTGACAGGGCAGTAGTGCCCTGTGCCTGCCCTGGGAACTCACAGCAGGTCACTCCACACTGACACAGGAGGGGACAGCCCTCTGCAGGGACATGGGAAGGCTCTGGGGCACACAAGGGGGACAGGGAACCTGCTTCCTAAGCAAAGTGTGCTCTGTGTCTCTTGTGGAGTAGAGAGAAAAGGAGGAAGGCAGCTGGAAGGTGTTCCCATGGACACAGATGTTGCTCTGATTTTTTTAAGTTTTTCTAAGCCTTCTGATGTTTACATCCTTGTAATGACTTTCTCACACATTTTCTGTAAATAACTTATTGTTTGCATTCTTTTATAAAAGAAGAAATACTTGTTGGACTGTTGGTTTGTCCAGTGTCATTGGAGAGGTGGCACTGTCACTCTCCAAATCCACTGTCACTTTTGGAAATCTATAAATGCTAAAGTCAAAAAATAAAGTCCCCCTTTTTTCCCTTGAGAACAGCAGTGTGTGCACACTGTTATTTATTTCATGTCCCACAGTGACACACAGACATGAGCAGGAGGATGGAAATACTTGCAGCATGGTCCCTCTCTCACTGGGTATCACTGTATCCTACTCCCAATTTGCTGCAGGTGCCATTAGGGCCTGGATTTGGGCACTGGGATGTACACAGACATTCCTCAGCCCCCTCAGCTGCTCAAGGAGGGGAAAACACACAAACCAACCCGAAGTGCAGGCTCAGAGCAAAACCCCCTGAGAGTACCTTTTCTCCTGGAGTCCCAGGCTCGCCCTGGAGAGAAAGAGACAAGAAAACAGAGTCACAAACCAGCAGGAAAGAGTACAAATCCTCCTAGAGCTACCAGAGTGGGGAAAAGAACATTCATCCATGGGGGCCTTGAGCTGGTAAGGGCACAAGAATGCTTCAGTTGCAAATTTTTGTGCCTGGAACCTCTTTTATCTTCATTAGCCAGCTCCCAGGCTGCCATAAGAAACCACCAAACCTCAGACTCACAGATTCCATAGAATGGAGTAACCACCCAGCAGGTGTTTACCAGATACCATAGAGCAGAGCAGGACGAGACCCGTGTGCTGGCACAGAGGAATTGGCACTCCCTGCTCTGTCTCCACAGCAGAGGAGCAAGGCTGCGGTGCAGCCGGGGCAGCCTGTGCTGATTCGAGCCCACCGGCCCCGGGGGAGGCTGCACACAGGTCTGGCACCTCTGCCAAGGGAGGCAGTTCTGATATTCCCCATCAGTGGGAGCTCTCCGACCATTTTCCAGCGCTCTCCCAGCCCAGCCCGTGCCCAAGCGAGGCCCTGCAGCCCAGAACTGACCTTCATCCCTGCGGCCGCCAGCCCCGGAGCGCCCTGGCAGAGAGAGCAGACAGAGACAGCGACACCTTGTTTGAAATCAATCGGACACAGGGGTTTTTTAAAGCAAAACGTATCAGTCAGGTGAAAGTAAAAACGCAAAACTGCACATGTTCTCCTTTCCACAGCTCAGAAGTGATGCTGTGACCCCACATAGCACACGTCCTCATTCCCTGAGCAGCTGCTCACCCATGGCAGGGGCTCTAGGTTCTGACAGCTCCTCCAAGGGCAGGCACCCTGAGCACAACCCAGACAAACACATCTCCACCCCCTCCTGCCCTGGGTTTAGTCCTGCAAGTGAAGCAGAACAGTGTCAAATAACTGAGGAATGCAAAGACAGACCAAGGAGCAAAACCCTCCTCAAGGCTTGAGGCCAGACACCTCAGCCCAAGCATCCTGAGAAAGGCTGGCTCATACCCCAGAGCCTTGGCCTGGCTATTCCCCCTCACAGAGGATAAACCCTGCAGTAAAGTGTTTCCAGGAGAGCTCTGAAGCCAGACACCTTAGGGGAAAAGCCAGACTTGCATCACTGCAATTCAGGTGTCATTCTGTCACTCTGCAGTGCACAGCAAGCCACCACCATGGGGCCATGGAGTGTCCCTGCCCTGCCATCCAGACAGGGGTCTCAGGAGGCAGCTGCTCCCACAGGGAGTGTCACACTGCCCTCAACAGCACTGATGCAAAGAGCAGGTTGTCCCTGCAACCATCCTCTCTGAAATCTCTGTATCCCCTGTGTTAGCGTTAGTCAGCTCCTGGTTAGAACAGGTCCAGTTAAAAAGGCAAACATGAGGGGTAACTAAGGAGGGGAGAGGGAGAGAAGTGGTGTTAGAAACTGGGAAATGTGAGGGGGTGGGATGTAGGACATGAGGCAGTGCAGAGGACTGGGAGCCAAGTTCAAAGTGAAAAAAGCTTGGAAAAGGTTCAAACAAGGAGGAGTGGGGAGCCAGAGAGCAGCAGGATCATACCTCTCAGCTTTCTGAAACAGAAATCGGGGACAAAAGCTAAAAAACACAAGGACAGAAGATGGAGATCAGGGATTCTATGCAATATATGGGGTGAAAAGCATTCCAGACTGTCTCAGGGTCAGTAGGTTTTAGCCAATACAGGCTGGAGCCATGAAAGGGATAACGTGCAGTGAGTGCCTTTGGTTAGGCCTTTGCAGAGCCTTGGGATGCCTGTCCCTCATTTCCCAGCCTTCAAAGAGCAGTGACTGCAGACCATGTTATTTTCTAGCATTTACCCTCAAACTGCAATGCACAGACATGCAGGGCTGTCACACACTGACCCTGATTCACTGCAGGCTCCCACCTGGGCAGCCCTGCTCATCCCAGCTGGGCTGGCACACACCTGCAGTGCTCCCCTGGCACAATTCCCTACAAACACCACAACTGGCTGCTCTCACCGGGTAAAGCATTAAACCCTGATGTTGCAAGTCAGCATCGGACTGGGCATGCCATTTGCTCTGTAAACACATCTTCCCCCACCTCTGCCTTCGTGAATTAGGCCCTGCATTTTGCAATTTAGAAGCGTGAATAATTCAGCTGAGGACAGTCACTGGCTCACAGACACACAGACACAGTGCCTGAGCATCAGGGGTGCTGGGGTGAGGTCAGGCAGACAAGCATCCCTCCTCTGGGCACAAGGTACCTTAGAGCCATGTCTTCCTGGCAGCCCTGGCATGCCTCTCTCCCCCTGCAAGCAGAGCAAGACACACAGAGAAAGACAGCAAGAGACAGCAGATGAGTCCTCCCAGGGCACAGGTGATGACAAACCCTCCTGAGTGAGGTGAGGCACTGTCTCACCCACTGACTGCCCCAGCTGGGGCCATTTCCCTCAATTCCCTCTCAATTCTTACACAGGACTGACCCCACTGGAGTGCCACAGCCTCCACACCCTGCTCCCACATCCCAACCTGCAGTGACCCTGGCATGAACAAACCTACTGGGAGAGACAGACAATCCAAGGGCTGCCTTGTGCTCTTAGCCTGAATTTTGCCTGCTGATAACTGGAAAATAAACCATCTTCAGGCAATCTGCATACTGCTCCTGTTATTTTCTTCTGGGTGTTTATTCCTTGCTTGGAAGGGCTATTTAGCAGGGATATATATATATATATATCTGCTTTTATAAAAAAATAGCTTCTTGTAATTACAGCATCCTGTGAACTACATTTTGTAAAACACTTTCTAATATCATAAGATCCATGACCTAGTGTGGGCACCTCCCGCCCTACACTGCCCTATTTTCAGCAGTAAGGAAAGTAAAGCAGTAATTAGGAATACTTTGTACTGGAGAATGTGGATTGGTCTCTCTCCTTCCCAGCCATGCTCCCTGTCTGTCTTCAGTGAGACCCAGCAGGGCAGAGTGATGTTTTCTGCTGGAAGACACCCAGCCTGCTTGCAGAGCCCATCCCCACCGGGCAGCCCAGCCTGTGCCAGTCAATTCCCCTTCCCAGAGACTCCCCATGAAGAAGTGCCTGCCTGAGGAGCTGTTTGATTCCTTCACCCTGCACAAGCCAAGCCCTCTGGTGAGAGGGAGCTCAGAGGTGGCTGAATGAACAAGAGCTCTGTGTGATACCAGGAAACTTCTTCAGGCCAGAGATATTCCTCACTGCCAGCCAAAGCAGTGATATTCCATGCAAAATTGGCCACTACAGCTAACCTAGGAATCATGGTGTTTGTCCAGGGCTCCCCAAGGCAAAGAGAAGGTAAAATCTAGTCTAGGTAAGTGGATCCAAAGTTGGAAGACTTAAATGTCTTCCAGAGCCCCAATTAATCCTCCTAGGTGGGAGGACAACAGAAAGAAGCCATTTCCAAAGACAACAAATGCACGTGCTGTTGGATGCTCAGGGGCTGAGTGAGGTCTGGCTGCTGATTTAAGAACGTGTCTGCACCTCCCTTTCAACTCCTCTGAGCAAAACGAAAGGAAGTTAGGAGAAAAGTGACCTTGACAGTAACAAATGATAGTCTGTGTGAGAAAGAAGCTGCTGCTCTGGGGCTGCAGAGGTGCCCTTTGGGAGATTTAGTAATCCCAAAAAGCACAGTGGGTTTAATCTCTGCTCTTCCTGAAGGGGGGTGTGCAAGACATAAACAAAGGACCAATAGCAGGACTGTGTCTGCAGGGTGGCCCCGAGTCAGGGAAGGCTCTCTCTGAGCCCCCCCCCCATCTCTGCATCACCCTGAGACATGACTGGAGCCTTCCCCTTTGCCAGAACCCACATGAAGAGCTGGCCAGTGATGGTACATGGGCATGAGCAAAGCAGGTGTTCCATGCTAGCAGTGAAACATGGGAGTTTCAGCAAGGACAAAACACAGCTTCTCCTTTCAGCCTTTTCTCCCTCTCGGGCAACACTCTGAGTTCATTCCTTCAGTTCAGTTTAATGGGAGGTCTGCTGTTGAGAGAGCAGCAAGCTCCAAGCCCTCAGAATAATCTGTTCTGGGTGCAATTCCACCTTCATTCCCACTGGCACAAACTGGAGCAATGCCTCTGTGCTTGTGGAATTACACTGATGGGGAGATGTGTTGGGGAGGATGGAACAGGAAAGCCTTACAAATATGATTGCCTGGCAAAAGATTTTGAGAATATGGAAACTTTAATGAGATTGAAATGAAAGCAAGCTTTGAGATCCCTCAGTTACTGAACAACAGGAAAACAATGGTGTGGCCAGCTGAAGGTTGTTCCCTTTTGATGGAACAATTCCCTCTGCTTGCAGACAGGCCCAAGGATCAGAGCAGACCCTACAGCTTGGCAGAAGGGCCCAAAGAGGAGTTTTTAGGGTTTAAAGTGTAACACAGTGTGGTAATGTAATGATTCTTATAGGCTGTATGTAAATGGTGTAGGATTTGTATATTGTACTAGATTGGTTAGTGAGAATCAGAATATTCAACACAGGAGATGATTTATTATAACGGGAACCTCACTCTCTTAGCTCTTGCCTTTTACTCTCTTACCCTTTTTACTCTCTTATGCTTTTCTCTCTGCGCCTTTCTTCTCTCGGGCCTGCTCTGGGCTGTGGCAGCTCCCAGCAGGGCCCTGCCCCCAGGCCCTCTGCAATAAACCCCAAATCCCAGCAGGGCCCTGCACCCAGGCCCTGTGCAATAAACCCCAAGTTCCTGACCTGGCTGCAGAGATCTCTCATCTCTGTCCATCCCCACCGTGCTACCCCCGTCACTCTTACAGAGATGCACACAGGGAACCACAAGCACTGCAGTATTCCTGAGGAGGTGTTTTCTTGTAGGAAGACAATCCCTGCTGCCCTATCCAGCTATGAACCCAGAGGCCGCATTCCCAAAGAACATTTCTTTAAACTCCAAGTAATGCATCCTTGGTAAGCTCTGAAGGGGCCTTTTCTCTCTTCAAACCTCTTTCTCTCTTCAATCCACCCAGATGGAAAAGATCTAGAAAGTGTATGTGCTGCAGGATAAATGAGCTGCATGCCACACACTAAATACTCGAAATGAACGTGTCACAGTTAATGCCTTCCCAAATATTACAGGACCAGTCTTTCCTCAGGATGTCTAAGATGTATGGCATGACACAGTGTGCTCTGACTGCCATGAACACTTGCCAATGTTGTCATGTTTTAAGCACAGCCTACATTGAGTAATATAGTTGAAATATATGGGTACAGTAAATTTCAGTCAAATAGATAACATCTGGGCAGAGACCATATGAGCCTGTAAAAGTGTCCAGAAACAGACAGAAGGGCTGGTGCCAAACCTCAGCCTGAATGGTGGAGTTGGAGTGGATTTGATGCGTCAGCTAACCAGATTTTATGAGGAAACCCCAACCTAGCCCATCAAATAGGGAGATGTAACAAATCACCAGCAAGCTTCATAGCCAGAGAAATGCCTCTGGTAAGAATGGAATTCCACTGAAGGGATGAAGGCAGCCTGAGCTGGGAGTGCCTGTCTGTGGCTCATCAGAGCACAGATGTGGACTCCATCAAACACCCCACAGAGCTGCCTTGCATCCAGCTCCCCTCACAACCCATCAGCCCAAGCAGCAGCATCTCCCAGGTGATCTGCTGTGAGTTAGGAAAATGTATTTGTCATGCCTACCTTGATGCCAGCATCCCCTTTTTCACCCTGCCAAGAAAAGGAGAGAGAAAGGGGGGAAACAGAGAGGGACAGTAAGCACAAAAGGAAACCAAGCAAGCAGTAACAGCAAGAGATAAAGCAGCCAGAAGAGGGGTGTGATAAATGCAGCCCCAGCACTCCAGGTCTGCTCACAGCAGCATGGGACCAGTCAGGCACTGGCTGCAGCCCTCCCTCCCCTCCCAGGAGTGCAAAGGCAGTTTAGGTCCTTGGAGGGCAGGCTGGAGGCTGCCCATACTAACACTCTTCTTTTACATGATAAGGGTGCAGAAACCATTGAAACATCTCATGGTCCAGAGTACCCTCATTTTCACAGCCCTGGTGCAAAGCCTCTGAAGGCTGGGTCGGTTTTATTCCTTGGGGGATTGTGTAATTCCTGGTTCAGGACAGCATGGAATCACCTTGGCCAACAATGGCCCAGATTCTTCACACAGGAGCAACTGTTGCTGTCTACTTGGTTCATCCCAGGCTCTAGAGAGCTGTCTCCCACCCCTGGCCTTTGATATCCCTTTAGGACAGGCTTGTGCCCCTTATCTGTCCCTTTCACTCCAGTTCAAGGGTTACCTTGGGGCCAGAGGCTCCAGGAAGGCCACGGGCACCGGGCAGGCCTGCCTCACCCACCTCACCCTGAGGGAGAGAGCAAAGAGAACAGTGGAAGCAGCAAACACAGCAGCAAGGAAAGGAACTGTGGGCTGCAGAAAGGCCAGCAGAGGTGTGAGAGGCATGTCCCACACTGAGGTGTCCCACACACACCAACCCACCCCTGGGTCTCTGGGAGAGGAGCAGATATTCAGTGTATGAAATGCATGGAGTGAAGGAAGCACCAAATCTGAATTAACAACTTTGCTCAACATTTCACCTTCTTTTCCCTTCCCGTTAGGATTTGGTGCCCTACATTGATCCATTCCTTCCAGCTTTCCCAGGAAAGCCTTGGGCTCACCCTGCAGCCCAGGGCAGGCTCCTGGCTCGGCAGGGATGGAAGCACAGGGGGTGTTTCATGTAGGAGGAGCTGCTGGGAGGTCACTGCCCAGAGCCACCCTCCCTGTGCACACAGGGATCTTGATGGAAAACCTTGGCTTCACTGGGAAAAGGGGCAATAAATTGTGTCTGTCTGCAGGAGGGGGCTGTGGTCTGCAGGGGCTGTAATTTCCACTTCCTGACATAAGAAAACCTTCTCAGTTTATACAGAGCTAATTAAAAAGCTCTCAGGTCTTGCCATTTTGCTTGCAGAGCACCCATAAAGCAACGTGGAGATAAGAGGGGACACAGGGCTCCTTCCTGCTGGGAACATTCACCTTCCCCTTCTCCAGCTGACATCTCCATGGCAGTATCTCTTCATTCCCTCTCTCCTGTTTGATCTCCCTTTGTGTCCTTCTCTTCCTGTCTCTTCATTACACCCTCTGGGCTCACAGCCTTGATGCTAATCAGCTGCTGCTGGAGGCACTTGGGCATTGCCAGCTTCTGCCTTTTAACCCAGAGCAGGACTGACTCTTTCCTGTATCCCAGAGAGCAACAGCCAGGGATTTGGCCCTTTTCAGCCTCCCATGTGGGCTTGGATGCATAAGAAATGCATTCCAGCCTGGAAGTGGGTGTAGAGAGGCACACACACACACACACACACACAAACACACACAGGGAGATATTTGTTCCATAGCTGCTGGAGAGTTAGAGACAAAAATCTCTGGGTCCAGGCTCTCTTTACACAGGTGCCAGCAGGGAACCTGTGGGACTGATGCAAACCCTCCACAGGAGGCTCCAGCATAGTCCACAGATCTTCAGCCACGATTCCAGAAAGCATCAGTGCACTTAATTCATTTAACAACACCGGAGCTTCCCTCCTTACCTTTCTGCCAGGGTATCCCTGAATGCCAGCATCTCCCTGCAAAAGGCAAAAAGACAAAAGGAATTGAGGCTTGGCCTGAGAGGGACAAATCTCTGCTCTTTTCCCTGGGGTATTGTTTGGATGGGAGAGCATTCCATGGGGAAAATCTGCCTTTTGCTCACAGTGATTCCAGTGAGCTCCTGTCCCTTCAGACCCACAGGTCAGCATTGCTGCACTGGGCTGAGCCCTGGCAGGAAAGCCCTGGCACACAGCTAACACGTGTCAGCTCTGTGCCCCAACTCCATGGCTCCTATCTTCTCACCCTGGCCACATATCTCAGATAAAAACAAATTATGTTGGGTGGCTGCAGCTGAAAAACAACAACAACCACCCCCTCCCTCGCACTTTGGCAAGTGAATAAATGGGAAAGCGTGGCAGAGTTAACAATAGCATTGCAAAATCCATTCCTGAAGCACTGGGAAATGCTTTGAGAATGGAAGAAGCCAATAAAGCTGTGTGTGGCAAACAGTTTTGCAAGCTGGGCTGATGAGGCGTGCCTGGCTCAGCGGAGAGGCAGCTCAGACGTGTCCCTGCACAAAACCCCTGAGTCAGCACAGGGGCTGGGCCCCAGAGGCACTGCTGAGCTGGGTCAGAAATCCCTCTCAGCCCTTTGATGTAACCTCTTTCACCCCTCCTCCATCCATCAACTGGATCTGTCCTGTCAGGAGAGCCCATCTCTGTTCATCATCTTTCTGCACCTCTAAGTGAGGTGAGATGTCTCACCTTTGGTCCAGGAGGCCCAGGTAAGCCCTGTGGATAAAATCAAAACAGACACTGGGGTTGGAAAGTGTGACATTACATGGACAGCAGGGTGATGGGGGGATGCTGGCTGGTTTGATTCAAAACACCCCTTAGAGATTTGCACTGCTGAGCTCAAACATCCCCAGTCTATTCTTCATGTAGATATCTTAGTGCATACACTCAAATAAACTTATGCCCACCATGCTCCATCCCCCCAGGTTTGTTCTTGCTCAGTTTGAAGACTAAAAAGCTGCTTTGCCTTATGCATTATGCTCCAGAGTATTTTCTGTTTCTCTGGCTTGCTTGGGGAACTTGTTCCCAGCCCACTGCAGCTCTGGAGTAAATCAGGCATTTGCAGCTTCCTCTGGCAAGCTAAACAGAGAGAATGTATTAACAAACAAACCACTTGTGTCTCTAAATGAGAAATACCCAAACAATTTACCTGATATGAACCATGAAGCATACCAGACATACGTATGTGTAAACATAAATAAACAAACTATCTTTGCAGGAGCTGCCTGTGGGCAGGCAGGGAAGGAAAACTGCTCTAGATATGCTCTGATACCTCTGCCACCTGCTTTGACAATTCAGGTGTTTAGCCATCCTGTCCTTGGCTCCTCAGAGAGAGATGAGGATCTCTCAGAGAGAAAGGAGGGTGCTGACCCCTGTGTTGTGTGTGGAGAGGTGCATTTGCCTCCAGGGATGAGACTTGCTTTTCCTGCTGGCAGCCCTTGAAAACTGCTGGAGATGGAAGCTCCTTTAATTCCCAGTGCTGCAGAGCCAGCGTGGCACGTTGGCCCCTGCAGCTCCCAGGAACAGAGCTGGACTCTGGTACCCACCTTTCCATCTCTGCCAGGCTTCCCAGGTTCTCCTGCTCTGCCCTGTGGCAAGAGAGAGGCACATTAGCAGCACTTTCTGTCCCCTGCCATTCAGCAGAAGTTTTGTTTTATAAGGGTGGTTCTGCTCCCACCCTCCCTGCCTAGGACAGGGACAGGACTTCAAAGGGGTGGCAGTGAGCAGACAATTACACCCCACTGTTACTTCCTCCCCAAGGCCATCTGCAGGGCTGAGGAGGAGGAGGAAATGAGCCTGGTGTCACTCCCTGTGTGTCCAGATAGCAGCAGTGCCCAGGTCCCATCTCTGCCTTCCCTCTCCTTCCCTGGAACCTCTTCCTGTCCACACATCCACATTCTCTGCAAGCCTCCTGTCCTGGCTATCTCAGCTTCCCTAGCAGCAACCAGAGGAAGCCAGAGGAAGCAGCCTATGCCCTAAGGGATGGGGAAGCAGAAGCATTTCAGTTTTGCTAAGGACTTACAGCGGGTCCAACTGGCCCAGGACGTCCTGGGATTCCTTCAGGTCCAGCTGGTCCAGGGGGCCCTGGTGGGCCAGGGGGCCCCGGGGGCCCTTGGATCCCTGCCTGTCCCTGTTCACCCTGCAGTTTGTAAAACAAGAGTTACAGCAGGCACAGCAAACCCTTCACACCACCACCCCAAGGGCCAAGACAGGCCAGCAGAGGAGACAGAAGCAAGTGCCAGGTTTCTGCCAGGAGAGGTTTCCAAGAGTGATGAGAGCCCTGCTGAGGACACTGGGCTGCCTGGGAAGCAGGAGCCAGCACCCAAAGGTTTGCAAAGACATCTGAGGTCACCTGCTCAGAGCTCCCTTCTAGAGAGATCTAGTGATGACAGAGCAGCCCAAAGAGACCTTTTTCTTCATTGAGCCAGCCAAGTAAAATTTATGTGTCAAAGACCAACATCTCTTGAGTCTCTGAGGAGGCTTTCCAAAGCACTTGACAGTCACATGTGAAGCAAAGCCTCCTGTACAACACTGGCACTTCCAGGCAGAGCCACCTCAGCCACTTCTTCCCCCATACTATATTGGTTGGACAACACTCCCTGTGTTTTGCCAAGGACCAACAGTAGAAATGCCACAAACCCCAAAGAAAATAACACGATCATCATGGCATTCCTGGAGGCCAGCCAAGGCAGGCCCATGGACACCAGGCAGAGCCTGTTTTGCTGGGATTTAACAAGGCAGTGCCTGCTGAGCCACCTGCCACTCTGAGCTCTGTGAGAGGGAGCTGCTGGAGCCAGCTCCTCCCCAGGCCCTCAGTGCCCCTTGTGCCTGTGGCTCATGCCTCAGCAATGTCATCTGGGGCTGCACGTGGCACCAGGCGGCACGCAGGAGACAGTGGGTTGGAAGCAGCACGTTTGAATACCAGACTGCTGATCTAGAACTGATGAATCCAGCTCCGAGGGCACTGTGGCACCCGTGCCAAGCTGTTCACTCTCTAGGCTCACCTCCCTAGATAAAACATGAGAGCCTACTGCTAGTGATCCCATTCAAATCTGAAAGACTTCCCTTGGTGGGTCTATGGGAAGCTAGAAACGAAGCTAGAAACCAAACATGGCTGTTTCTCAGTTAAAAGTCAGCGGGTGTGCAGTCGGGTCTCTGCTGCATTTATCCTCTCTCCAGCCTTACACACTGGAGGAAAATGCACGAAATCTGTCCCCTGCGTTCCTACCAAATGCGCTGTTTATCCTGGCTGCCTTCAGTGAAACATGCAGATACAGGGATGTTTGCTTTATTTAGAATGATAAATGAAAGTAATAAGCTGCAAATTTCATCCTTTCTGCCATCAGCTCTATTTAAAAGAAAATTTCCAGCGCGTGGGCCAGGCTCACGAGAAGCTGGGTCATGTGTGGAGCAACAGCCCTTTCCTTTTCTGTGCCTCACTGCCCAACCCTCAGCCCACGCTGGGAAGCCTGCAGGGCCAGGCAGGAGGGGTGCCCTTGCTTCTCCCCACTTTCAAAGTGGATCTTCATTCATCCTGTGGCCCTTGCAAGGGAATGTAGGTTCTTTCCTAAGCTTCCTTATCCTCCATACTCAGTGCCACTCAACTGTAAATGGTCTCATAGTTTTAAATATGGAAGGTAATTTGGATCTAATGAAGATGTTGGGAGGACACTGGAATGTATTTCTAGATTTCCTCTTGCCTTGCCCTCTCATTCCACCTTCAAAGACTTCTCTCCCACTGCATCTTTTAACACCCCCAGCATGGGTGCACCATGGGAAGGCAAAGGGGGCTTTGCTCATCTCACTTTGGCTCTCTCTCTATTCCCACCTCAGCTACTCTCTGCCAGCCCAGTCCATGCTCCAAATTTAGGGCACTAAAGTGCAGCATGGTGCTGGAACAGGGTGCTGGTAGGAGAGATGGCAGAGCAGGAGCCCTGCCCCAGCACAGGGAGCGGCTGCAAGGAGCTCACCCACCCCAAGTCCCGTTTGCATCACCCTCACTCTGCTGTCCTGGGCACAGCAGGCTTTGTTTAGGCAAGTGCCCATCCTTGCAGATCCCTAAACACACCCAGTGTTATCACCACATCATTAAAGCCTCATTAATGTGCTCAGCACAAAAGGACCCCCACAGAGCTCAACGGACAGTGAGTGGATACAGTAAGTGGGAGATCAGGTGTCATTTTCCTCAGTTGTCATTCTATATTTTTAGCTGTCGACTGGAACTATTTTTCAGTTCTTTTAAAACACCAGCCAGCCACCCTGCCTGCAGCCCAGCAACGCAATGCCTGCTCAGCCTCCTCAAAGAGGAGCTCACTCACTCAGGCCATGCTGAGCTAAGCCTTGGGCAAAGCACTCCTGCCGATGTGCTCAGAGCTAGCAGCAGGATTTTCCTCTCTAACATCCATTCTGCAGCCTCACTGTTTTCCTTACTACTCACAGGCTGGGCTCCTGGAATTGCCTGGTGCTGGCAGATGTGTAGGAGCAGACCCCACCCTGTTGCTTTTAGAGAATGAATACAGCAAAGGCAAAATGGATCATGGCAAAAACTCTGGTGAAGTTTTCCTCTGAGGACAGAGGGAATTTGCAGCCCTGGCTGACGACAGAATGCAGGGCAGCTATTCAAGTTTCCCACTTCATCCTGGAGAGGAACTTCAGCTTTCAAAGCCTTCCCAAGAGGTCAGTCCTTGGCCTGGCTCTCCAGACTGTCACTTTGAAGGGCAAACAGCGCAATCCATGGGGCTCTGTGTGGTGTGAGTGCTGAATCGATAGAAACTGAGCTGAAACCACGGGCTCAGGATTCATCCAGAGCTGGGCAAGGACTGGGCACCTCATGGTAAAGCCTCTTGCATCCTGCAGTTCCCTGCTGGCATCCGACTGTCTAGACAGGCACAGGGTGACAAAACCCAGGCACTCAATAAAGAGTGCCCAGCACACTTCAGCGGGGTAATTGCAGCAGTTTGTCCACACAGGAAAGCTAATCCCAACTGATGGAATGAGGGAGCATAAAGTGGGCTCATTAAAAGCCACATGAACTCTGACTATGGACACTCTTATTCACTATTCATATGTCCGTAATTCACTTTATGAATTCATTCCCAAAAATAAACTAAACATGAATTATGGCCCTGGAAACCAAAATAAATGTGTTTACACAAAGATTTAATGCAGTTTAATGAAACCATTCTAAGAGCTTATTTAAACACATTTCCCCAAGTGCCTCAGACTAGACTAACCCTTAGAAGAAGCGTTTGCCTATTCATTCATCTCAGTTAAATTTCACAGACATTAGATGAATTTCAGCAAGAGGCTTCCAACCTCTTCTGGAGATTGAATATGCAGGAACTGACTCCTTAAGGGAGGAGGCTGCTTGTCGACAGCCCCAAGAACAGCTTCATGGCCCATTTCTTTTAGTCCAAAAATCTGCCTTCACTGCATTTCTTTTTAGCAACATTATCACATCAAAGGTTTCCTCCGCTTTCAAGAAAGTCCCTCAGCTCTGCCTGAAACTCTTGGAAAGCCCTCTGCAGGGGAAGAAAGACAGGTAGCAAGCTGATGAATTGCAAGCATTGGGATAAGCTCAGAAACAGGCAACAAGGAGGAGAAGTCTACCTGGAAAGTGCGTCTCTTTATGACCGGAGGTGGAGCCAGCCGCACTGAATTGAGGAGAGGCAGCAGCTGAAGAAGATCAAACCAGAAGGTCACAGGGCAAAGGAGGCCATGAGGGCATGGAGAGTCACAGAGCAGCCAGGACAGAGACCAGAGAAGGGGGGAACAGAGAAATTGCCATGAAAATGAAGCCTGGCAGGAGAGCGGTGTGGGGCAGCTACCTGCTGGCACACCTCTGAGCTCCTGGTGCTGCTCACAGGGCACAGCCTGGCAGCTCTGGGGTGCCCACTCAATACCATCCCACTGCACAGAGCTTCCACAGCTCCCTCTGCCTGGAAACAGCCAGGGGATCTCTGACTCAGCTCTGCTGATCTCCTTAGAAGTGCTCCCTGCAAGGCATCCCCCTCGCTGGCTCTGCTGGGGTGCCCTGCAATGCGACTGTTTCTCTTAACTTATCATCATCATCAGAGTTGGGGCATCTATCAGAATTACAATTTTCTCCAGGTTTTCCAAGTGCAGTTTTCCAGCTCTCTTACAGGAAACCCAGTGTATCTCCAGGTTTCCCCCTCCCTGCAGGTGTGGAAGGGAGCAGAGAAAGGCTGGCTGGGGTCAGCACAGAAGTCCTGGCTTGGTTCACTTAACTTGGCACGCACAACCACCACGGCCAAGGGACAGGACCAGGCCTTGGAGCTGGACACCTAAGTAGGGCATTGCCCTGGCAGCCTGTGCTTTGTTTTTCCTTGCTCAACAGTATCATCACCTTCTGACTGCTTATAGCCAGGAATGCTGCCTTAGGGCACAAAGCTGACCCGGACACACAGAAATCAAATGCACTAAAGCTCAGGAGCATTTGTTCATCCTCTTGCTGTATCCAGTTTCCACTTGCATGCACGCTGCTGTCACCCTGGCACCCACCAGTCGGCTCCAGGCCCAGGAATGCTGCCCTGGCCTGATCCACTTTCCTGTTCCTATCAGTTTTCCATTGAAGCTGCTCTTGATTTACATAGGGAGAGGTGAGAGAGCCTTTCTGTGCTTGGCCACAAAAACATGCCCGTGTGTGACATTTCCCCGTGTGAGCTGTGCACTCAGACCCCAGAGGTGTGCCCACAGGTGTCCCACCACAGAAACCATACCCTTCCAAGGAGCACATTTATTCCCTTTAGACATTGTACTTCATGTGTGCAGTGAAAGCAAGGATCCAGTCCTGATGCAAAGAGAAGCAGTAAGCCAATTTTGCAGCATCATGATTAGGTGGTTGTGCTCAAAAGCACTGATCCAGACAGCCACAAGCTCTCACTCCAAAACCAGTGCTGCTGGAAATTCAGCAGGGCTCATTTTATCCAAAGGCAAACCTCCCCTTTCTCAAAGACAGTGCAGGAGGCCCCTTGGCACAGGAGAGCCAGCTAAGCTGGCTTTGCCTGGCTGCTTAAGTGCTGAAGGGTATCTGAAATATCACACAGCTTACAGGGGAGCTGAGGGAGGATGCTGGAAAGGATAAGGAGGAAAATGGGGAGAACCAGTCCTGAAAACAGGCAAGACAAGACCCTGCAATGGATTCAGGTGAGAAGAAATCTGAAGGCACTTCCACCCAGCTCCTGCCGTGCCCCCTCTGTGTTCCAATGGGAAGTTTTTTCAGAAGCCTGTGTGCAATGTTGGATCTGTTCCCTCAACCTTTGCATCAGAACTGGATGCCCTGCGAGTGCTACCCACAAACCTTGAGCGTAAGGATCTGGTTAGAGCGCAGGGCTGCGAGGGTGGTACTTAGGTACTCCTGGGGACAGGGAACACACACCAGACAAACAGGGTCAGAGACACAAACAGCATTTCTGAGAGCCAGACAGCATGGCTTTCATGGTTTCCCTGAGCACACTTGGCAGCAGCCTGAGGGGCCCTCACCCCCTGAATGGGCAGCACCCATGCATGGGCTCATCCCTCACAGCAGTGCAGGCCACACAGACTCATGCAGACAAAAAAATAGGAATCTACAAGAGCCAAGGCACATATCCTAACCTTGTATTTCCTTCCTAAGAAAACAAATATGAAACAAAACTGAAACAACATCCCCGGTTTGTCAGGATGCTGGTTTTCACTTCCTCACCCAGAACATCTGACAAAGAGCCTTATCAAACAGAAAAGCAAGAATTAATTGCAGTTCTGTCAGCAGTGTCGCATTTTTGCAACAAGGCCCATCCTCATTTTCATTCAGGGAGGAAGAAAGAGAACTGCACCTTCTGCTGGCTGGTCTGTGCCTCTGGCTCCATGAACTTGCAGGTCGGGACAGCCTGTCCTTGGGTTGATCTGAGGACAGCCACTCTTCCCGTGAGCGTGTCTCAGCCATGAACAACTCATGGGCTTTTTATAATGTTGAGCTTGGTGCCTCATGAGACCAAAAGAATCTCCTGAGAGGCAAGGAAACGCTGCCAGGATGAGGCTTTGCACCCACCCTTTTCCTGCAGCTCACCAGCCACCCTACAACCCTGACCCACCAAACCAGTGTGCCTGAGCCCAGGTGATTCCCAGGGATGCACCAGCTCCCTTCCCAGTGCTGCTCTGGGTCCTGCCACTGCTTTTCACCTTGAGCACTGGGGACACTCAGAGCCAAGGGCTGTAACAGGAACTCAGGACACTGCTGGGTGACCAGTGTTGTTGGCTTGTTTTTAACATAACAATCGAGTGAGCTGCTCACTAAATAAACACAGCTGAGCGGCTGTTACTGCAGGGACTGGCACCTCCCCACAGCCCCTTATCCCTTGCTGCCAGCCCAGCTCTCTCTGCAGTGCCTCTGCTGCTCCAACCCTGCTCCCTCCGGGCCAGGGCCCAGAGCCCAGCTGATTATCCAGAGGCCCATCAAAAATAAACAGAAAGCTCTTAAGCTTGTCTCCCTGTACACCCAGATTACAAGTTCCAGCCACTTCATATGATGTCGTTCCAATGCATTTCCAGTGGATTTTCAGCACTCTGGTTGTTTTTAGAACTGGTTAAATCCCCTCCAGCCCCATGATGTTCTCTCTCCACTCTTGGCTGCAGCACTTGCTAGCCAGGCCAAGATGAAGGAGCAGGTGGGGCAACATCCTGGCTTTCATTAAACAGTTGCTGGCATCAACCCTCCCACTCAGGCAAATATTCCACCAGCCTTGGGGACCAGCATGGGGACCAGCTCACTGGGGAGCTGACAGAGCACCATGGCCAGGGTCACCCTCAGGCAGGGAGCATTCTCCTTGTCTCTATGCAGGGATGACACCAGCAGAGGGAGAAGAAAAAGGGAGGAATGATGATAGAGTTTTCCCCAGGTCTTCAAGGAAGACAGCACGGTGCCAGTGCAGCAGCTCAAGGCATGAGTGGTGACCTCTGCTCCTCCAGAACCCCCAGGTTTCACTGGGCTTTGGGCTGAGGATGTGGTTCTTCCCTCTCCAGCACAGAGCACAGGAGGGTCTCCAGGAAGCAGAACCGACAGCAGCTATCCAGGGGTCAGCTCTGGTGGGCAGGAACACAGACCGGGGAGCCAACATCCCTCCTGGAAAACCTTATCTGCTGCTTTTCTGCGAAACGCATCCATCAGCCCAGCACTGCCCCGGGGGCCCAGATGACGCATCTTGTTAATGGAACAGTCCCCACCTCCGACAAAAAGCCACTCAAACCAAGGAGGATTAACATGCAGGAAGGCACGGGACAGAGGATAATAACGCTAATGACTTACCCTGTGCGGGTACTCTGCACACTGACCCTGCGAAAGAAGGGGATTAAAAAGGAAAGAGTTGAAACCACAAACAGAGGCGACCAAAATAGGCACGCGGGGTCAGAGCCAGACGGTGTAAATCATTGTGACTCTATCACTCAGTGCAGCTATGCCAATTTGCACCCGATAAGCACCCTGCCTCCTGTCCCATCCCCTGAGCCCTCTGCTCTCAGTACTCCTCACTCACAGTCACATCAAGCAGCACCAAGTCCCTTCCTCACTTTTAACAACGCCCTCATTGAAATTACCTTCTCTCCTTTTTGTCCTGGGGGCCCCTGTAAGAGAAAAGGCATCAAAAAAGGCCTCAGTAAATGAAGGAGTTCAGAGAATGCAAGGGGAGAGGGATTCAGGGGAGAGATACTTACAGGCTGTCCCCTGGGACCTGCAGCACCCTTTAAAGAAACACAGAATTTAACAGGGGATGACTTTCCATTTACAGTGACAGAAAGAGTATGGAGTAGGTGAAAAACTGAGCTTTTAAAAACAATTGTGAAGAAAATTCCCCAAGAGAGATCCGGGTTCCCTTTGTTACTCTGGAGGAGTGAAAAATGCACACATGCTCTGGCTGCCCCACAGGGGGGGAAAATTAAAAGGAGAGGGGGAAAAATCATGAGGAAAACACACCCTTATTGTTCCCAGGACCTCAGCTGACAGCAACTCCTCAGCCACGCTCTGGGATGGAACCAGAGGCAGCCAGGACTGAAGCCTGAGCTGGGATTGTGCAACGGGGGACTGGGGAGGGGGATCTCCAACATGTGCTTGCCAGAGGGCTATAGTGACACTCGGGCTCAAAAAGCAGAATTACAGAATTAGCAGAAGAAAACATTCAACACTTTAGTGAGTGAAGGTGACTACAGGGCCTCCCTCTTGACACACTCATATTTGGGATTTCATTATCAGAGATGTCAAGGGGAACAAGACAGCATTTGGGCTTCCATAAAGCGCAGTCTATCATTTTCCACCAAAAGCATTTTAGTATGATGCACATATGAAACAGAGCTTCAAGAGGCTGTGGGGGGGTGGGGGGAACCACATTTAATACAAAAAACATGCTTTTTTTGGTTGTTGTTAGATAAGTTGAAAGCCGCCAGATGGGTTTTCAGAAATCTTTCCATCAACTTTTACTTGTCCTATGAGGCCAACCACAAAAAATGTCAGCTCCCAGAATATATTTAAAGAACATAATTGCTAAGTGCAAGGAAAACACATCCCATGCCTAACTAGAGAGTTGCTGTTGTGACATGACGAATGTGCTAGCCATAATGCAAAAATTACAGACATGCATCCCAGCCCTGCTATTATGAAGTTACAGAATTAGGGATGCAGCTAGTGCATCAGCTGAGGGAAGATTGCTACCCTGCCCCTGAGCTTGTTTCCAGCTGAGGCACAACATCATTGCAAACCAACCCATCACCCACACACAAACAGATGGATTTTTACCATCTCTCCCTTCTGTCCAGGATGCCCCTGCAAAAGAGAGGAAACGCTCATCAGCTTTGGCCACTGCAGACTCTAGGTGATGTTGATTTAACAGCTTTTGCTGAGGGAAGTGTGTGTCCCCAGAGCAGAACAAGAAAGGTGCTGCCACATCTCTCTTGGGGATGAAGTTCCACGTGGCAAAACCAGGACAACAGAAGCCAGAGGTGTGAGCAACCAGCTCCTTCTCCACTGCAGGTGTGAGCTACCAGCTCCTTCTCCACCGCAGGTGTGAGCAACCAGCTCCTTCTCCACTGCAGGTGTGAGCAACCAGCTCCTTCTCCATTGCAGCACTGGAGGAGTGTGGTGGGGAGCCTGGCTGCATGGCTGCCACATGGAGCTATGGGTTTCATTCCCACTGGGTTCATGGAGAAGGAGCTCGTTTGTGCCCAGCTCTGAAGGATGGGAAGAACTTGGGTTTCTACTGTAAATCTCTAAGGACAGCATGGAGGTCTCACAGAGTCTTTAGGATCCTTCTCTCCTCCACTGCAGCTTTTTGGTACAGCAGCTGTTGGCTAAGGCAGAGGGCTGACACCTCAGGGATCTGCTCTGCCTGTCTGATTCTGGTGGGAGTGCCTGCTAAGGCTTTCCCCACAGCAGCCAGACTGCTGCACTCATGAACTGCTAGTTTATAGATTTACCTAGAAAGGAACAGGCCATACTCTGCCTTCCTGCATCTCCTGACTCCTGCATCTCCCCCAAGGCATCTGTGGCATCCTGCTGCCTGCCAACCTCCTCGTTTTGTTTTAATCCATGCATGTGCATGGCATTGCAAAACAATCCCCTTCAAACACAGGGTGTAACACCCAGGTTCCAGCCCAGTGGGACTGGGGCAGGGCAGAAGCCTGCAGAGGAGTTCTCTGCTTACCGGTTTGCCATCCAAGCCAATAGGGCCCTGAAATGAAAGAGGAAAAATGATGAGAAATGCTTTCCCCAGCATCTTGTCCATCTTGTCCACCTGGCCCAGGAAGCACTGTGTGCCACAGGACTGCATGGGCTGGGGTGATGTGAGGTGACTCCCTGCCCTCCTGTCCAGTCGTGGCAGGTCCCTGGCTCATTGAGAACCAGCCCAGATTTCAAACTGCTTCAGCAGGGACCTGCAATGCTGGACACAGGAACAGAAACAAGGAGGGATTCATAGGCAATTTGCAAAAATAAATCTCAGAATTTAAAATTTTACAGTGTTGGGTAAACCAGTTGAACATCAGTAGTTTTCTCAGGACTTTGATCTAAAAGGGCACCCGCCTTTGGGGGAAGAGGAATTTTTGCAAGTGATAGAATAATAAAAGTGTCTCAGGGAAGAGGTGACACACAGCTCAGCACGTGTTGAAGGTACTGTTTGATGAGAAACAGGCTCCACAGGGGTTGTTTTCCTTGTTTGGGATAGGGGTATTTCTTAGGATGATTTTCTTTACCTCAACAGATCTGCCTTTAACTTTGTTATTTTAACACTTGGGGATTTTTTAAAATTAATTTCCTTTCAGAGTTGTGTGGTTTGGTTTAGTAGGTTTTTTTTTTTTCTCCCTAAGTATTGTTTAAAAAAAGTAACAGAAAAACAAATGAAGAAGAAACTGCTTTTTTCCAGTGATATCAGATCAGGTCATTGGTTTCAGGAAGAAATGATGAGCTACAGCAAGCACTTAGGAGGCTTCCTAGTAGTACCACACATCCGTACCTCATAAATTCAGAGCTGCACTTACCGGGAATCCAGGAAAACCTCTTGTTCCAGGCTGTCCCTGGGAAGGATGAAACAGAGACAGCACTTTAGAGGAACTCAAATGAATTTTGATGGATCCTATGTCCTCTCTACAGAGCCTTTCCTCCAGCCTCTGACCAATTATCCTACAACTCTCTGAAGAGATACCCAACTCCCCTCCAAGGGGGAAGTGTCTTGGGAAGGAGGGGAAATCTCTCATCCCCACTCCAATTTGTACAGGGCCAAGAAAAGGCTGGAGCAGCTCCAGTTTGGATTGCAGGCAGTTTCCTTTAAGTTTCTACATTAATTAAATGGGTGTCCCTAGCCCATATGTTAGGCTTTTGGAGTATATTCCAGAGGCTGAGCTCATTTTATGGCAGTTCTTGCTGCCATAAACCCGAGATGTTTAATGCAGGGTGCTGTTCTGTGCAAGACAAGCCTTGCAGGTCACTGGTGTCTAAATACAAGCATCCCTCTCCTCCTCCAGCCCTCATCTTATATCTCAGCTCATTCATTTTGCTCAGAAATAATTCTGGAGGTGATTTTTTCCCTCTTCTGTTTCTTTTCTTTTTATTTTTATCCTCTGAGAGCTAAGACAAAAAGGAGAGTTGGGCTGTGTGATGAGAGGAACATGAGCACCACAATTTTTCCCCCTGCCCTTTCCTGGCTAGCTAGCTGTGGCTACCAGTTTGGGATCAGGTACAGCAAACACTGGCTTGGGATGTGTTTGGCAGCTTCTTCATGCCCTACTTAAAAACACCAAAAAAAGAGAAAATGTGCTGTCTGTTAATTTTTCGTTGTTCTTCAATTTTTGGGTCTTGTGACATCCTAGGTCACAGTTATGTAGCTTTGTTGGTATCCAGGAAAGATACCACTTCATTTCAGGATTTTCCAATCTGTTTAAAAAAGAAGAAGGTCAGGAAGCATATGGTCCATGTGGCCCAGACTTCAGCAGATCTTGCAGCAGTCTCATGTGGACAGAAGCAGCCGGATGAGGTAAATCCTGTGCCACGCTCATCAGCTGACCACTGTGGCACCCTGCCTGCCCTGAAAGCTGGGCTGGCATGCCAAAACGCCCAGCTTCCTTATGTCTTCTCTCATTTTGGGGGAAAAAAATGCTTTCTTCAGCGATTTGAGCTACCATCAGTGGACTGCTGGAGTTTCCTAGGATAGAGCTGGGCATAAACAGGGTCTCTGCCTTAAGCTAGAGTGATCCCATGTGGCGCTGAGGGAAGGGAAGGGCAAGGAAGAAATGGGGCTCCTGGGCCGTGAGGCTGAGGTTTGCCACAGTGAAGCAATAACAATCCTTTGGGAGACCTCAGAGTTGCACAGATAGGAAAAAACTTCACCTTCCTTCAGGTAACACCTCAGAGTATCTCTCTGTCTGCAGAGAGATTCAGTGAGGGTTTACCCCTGCAGAGATGGGCCCAAACAGCCTCTTTGCAGGGTTTGAGGGATGTCCCCACACAGAATCCCTCACATTGCACTGAAGAGTTCTGGTTTGCTGTACAATGCTAGCAGGACCTAATCACATTTGCACTATTTCTTTAGTTCTGCAAAGTTGAACTTGGTCAGCTTTGCTTTGCAAGATACACACAAAACCACCTGGCCCTGTTGGCCAGCGACCAGGAGGGAAGATAGGCTATAAATTAAAGGATCTGTCCACTGCTGGCTTCTGAAAAGGCAAGAAGCAAGAAGATCCTAGCCAGAATTCTGGTTCCCTGTTGGACACCTCCCTGACAAAAAGTGCTAAAAAAAGAATTAGGGAGAAAACCTGGAAATGGTGCAATTTGGCTTCCTCTGTAGACTACAGACTGCTGCTTCTCTCCCCTTGGAGGACAGCAGGATGATTTGCACGGTATCACGCCAAGACAACAGTTCAGCAGCGAGCCATTCCAAGAGACTGTTTTTGTTGGGTGGCTGGTTTTCCTTGTCTCCTTTTTAAAATGTTGATTGTATGAAGTATGTAATCCTGGGAGCTGCCAGATCATGGAGACCGTCTGTTTCTGCCACTATTGGTGCGCTGGCCCTCTCTGGCCAGGAGCTGAGCAGCTCTGAGCTCCGGCAAAAACTTCAACCTCCAAACAAAAATCTGGAAACTATTTGTCATCCCACATCTTCCCCAGTGGCCCCTTGCCCAGGGTTTCCGTGTTTGTCCTCAGTGCTCAGCCATCCTTCTGACCTATCACCAGCTCCCCAGGAAACGGGATCATCTTCACAGTAGGCTTTGCAGGGGGAAAGTGTGGAGCTGGGCTGCTCCTGGCACCTCAGGGCTTTGACTGGTGCAGGCAAAACCCCATTTTAGACACCTTTTGCCACCTAATTTTTCTGCTGCTTTAAAGATGCAACGTGTTCTGCACTTTCCCAAACAGCAGCAAAGCAGACAAAATTGTCCTGCAGGCCAAGCACATGTCCTTCAATAAAACTGTCTCCTTTACAGGACCTGATGGCTTTTCTCTCTGATTACTATAATTACCCTGTTCAGAGCCAGAGCTTGTGAGAAACAGCAAAAACAACGGGGCACTTACCCTCCAAAATCTGCTGTTTGTGCAGCAGGGTGGTCTTGCACAGAGCTTGGCTTGAGAGACTTGCCAGCCCCTGTTCTTTGCCTGGACACGTGGCCAGGGACCATCTGCCAGGCATAAAACCCTTGGGGAGACCCATTTGGGTCCTGGGCTTTGGTTCTGTCGCTTCCCAAACTGCAGCATCCCCGGCAGGTGGGCCTGGGGACCAGCAAAGCTGGTTTTCATTAGAAACACTTGTCATGGGGCTTTTGGGAAGCTAATTGGAAAGCCAGATGTAGCCAAGTGTTTGCACTGCCTGGGTCTGTCTCACTTGACCTCGCTGTGAAACAAAGGCTGCCAGCAGCCCATCCTCTCTGCAGGTCAAGGACGGTGCTCTCCACAGGTTAATCAAAATCGGAAGCGCCCACTGGGAGGGAGAGAATTGAATCTCCAGGTCCTTTTTCATGGAAATCTCCAGTGGAGGCTGTGCAGGGATGGAGTGGAGAGCTCTGGCTGCACCCACACAAAAGCAGAGGCCTGATGGCTGAGCCACAGTGCAAGAAGCATCCAGCATTTAGGGCACACAAACACTCCGACCCTTCACCTTGGCCTTTTTTCATGACCCTGTCCTCGCAAAAAGTTTTGTCTGGCTGACTCCTTGCACCCTGTAGAGACACTTTTACTGGAAGTGGAGCAAAATTCTGCCTTTTCTCAGCCAGATAAGCAGTGACCATGCTGACAAAGAGCTTCCAGGATTTTGGGTACATGACAAGGATCTCTGAACCACGCTTTGTCTTTGTGAGCTCCCCAGTCACTGGCTTAGCTCTGATCCTGCCTGTCAGTAAAATCAGGGGGCTTGTTGCCTGCTGATTAAACCAAAGGCTGAAATCAGCCAGGCAAAGGGCAAATTTTCTCCAAAAGTGATATCAGCCCTGTTGCACAAAGGAAATACACTTCTTCCTTTTAAATGCAGGACTCTGGTTTCCTTGCCAAGGGAAGGCTTCCTCATTTGTCCTGGAACATGAGCTATAATTTCATTATATATAGTATATAATAGCAGTATAAAACCAAGGCTGGCTCAGCATGGGAACCACATTATACAGGGTTTTTGCTCTTTCCAGCTGATGCTGAGTCTTAATGCCCCTCCTAAGGCTTTCCCAGTAACTTGCCCACATCCTGAATCAGGCAAAAATAGAGAGAAAAGTCACTTACGGGTGGGCCACGGGGCCCAATGATGGACATGCCAGCTTCTCCTGGAGCACCCTGCAGAGAGACAAAGCAGAGGAAAGGGCTGAAAACAGGAGAGGAAAGACAAAGACAACTATATTCCTGTCAAGAGTGGGGTTAAATGCGGGTGCCTTAGGTGTGAGATCTTCAGGGCTCATGGGGCAGCTGCTGTTCTGGCCTCCCCCAGCTCCTGCCTGACACTTTGGGAAAAAAGATGTTCTTGAGAGCTGCTCAGATGTGCCAGAAAATGGAAGCTGCGCAGCAAGGAGAAGTATAAACACATAAAACACTTTCTGGCAAAACAGATGTTCTGCCCCATTGCAAGTGTGAAAGATGGCCTGAAATCCTTTCTGTTTCCTTCCTGTGAGTTCCAGGAGGGTTGTGTCCTGCAGAAGAAAGAAAAAGAGGGATGTGCTGGGCTCCAGGGAAAGGGGAGCTGCAGGCATCTCATTTGGTTACTCCAGAAATGCCTTGCTTGTGTACTTCTCAAACTCAATAGAGATGTGGATGAAAACAAAGCAAAGTGCTTGCTGGAAAAGGAAACAGCTGCCTCTCCAACTCCCAGCCACCCACAGCGTGTGATGTGCAGGACATGTCACTCCCTTTGGAAACATGATGTATTCCTGAGAGGCAGCTCCAGAAGTGCCCAGGGCTGAGGAGCTTTGGGACAGAGCATCCCATAAACCAAGGAGCCTGCAAGAAAGCAAAGCACTCTGAAAAACAAAGCTATGGACTGCCAGAGACTGAGCGCTCTCAGGGAGGCCTTTGGGGCAGCAGGGGCAATTAGGAGGGATTTTATTCCATTGTTTGTTTGTATCTATCTGCTGTCCCTTCATGGAAACTTTGGCCAGGAACAAATGCAACGATATGCAGAGAAAAAAGCAGAATGGCTTCAGGTGGGAAATTCTGGTCTGTTTGATGTTGGTTGGCTTCAATGAGCAAACAGTGAACACAAGGATGAAGAACCTCTATCCTGCTTTCCCCTTCCTTGTTGTGTTTTTCTCTCTATTATGAACAGGAGCAAACGGGTCTGGTATGGTACTGCATAGATAACCTTCCTTGTCAGGTAAATATCCATACCTTTCCTAATTTCTACACATTGTTATTCAGTTATTCACAAATCCCAAACACCTCCATTTCCCTGCTCTCCCAGTGGGAGGTACTCACAGCTCTGGGGAAAATACACTAACACTGAAATGCCAGCAGCAGGATCACTTTGTAAACCAGCACTCCTTTGCGGGTACAAATCTCAACTCACTGCACAGCACACAGTCTTTGAGATGGTGTCCCACAGACCATCAGCTTTCCTCAGGAGGAAGAGAGCCCACCATGTCAGAGATAGGAGGGTGCCATGCCACTTTTACTCCTCGCTCCCACCTGCACCAGGGATCAGGCTAACCTGGGAGGCAGAGGGGAGCTGCAGGTTGGCTGGGGCAAGCAGAGCTGCCACAGGGGGAGAAAGTCAATGGTTAAAATCCAGGAAGCCTTGAAGGAAGGCCTGCATGTGCCCACTGGCTCTTAGGCTGTTAGTAAATTGTCATAAACAAGAAACACAGCATCCTTGGAGGCTGAGTGGCCTGGAAGGAATTTGGGAAGTATACTTGCACTGACACGGAAGATGGGGCAGCCCAAGGCTGGCTGCAGTGGCCATGACTGCGACAGGGGAGCTGGGCTGGCCCTAGAAGGACAGTTTGGGGGTGCTAGAGGCTACAGGGAGCTGACTCACCTTCTCTCCAGATTGCCCCTTTAGTCCCTGGGTCAGTGGCAGCCGTCACAGCCACATGCAAGAGGGTGCAGGGAAGAGAGAGAGAAAGGAGAGACACAAACACAGGCGTCAGCGGCAAAGGCACGCTCTGCCTCCCACAACCCTGGCTATGGGGCTGGCACCAGCAGGGTGACCTCACTCCTGCCCCAGTCCCCTTCCCCATCCTCACCAAGGGATGCCTGAGCAAGGAGCAGCTCCACAATCCAGCACTCAGCCAGGCAGGGCACGGCCCCCTTGGCTCAGGGCAGCTGCCAGTGGCAAGCAGGGGTGCGTGTTAGGAAACCCAGGGTTAGCAAGCCCAGCTGGCGCACCAGGTGGCAGCAGGAGACACCCAAACAGGGGATGCTGAACCAGAGCAGGGCCTGGATAGGACAGCAGGTGAAATGGAAACACCCCCCAGCATGTATGTGGCTTGCAGGGCTGGTCACCCTGCTGAGAGCAGGGGAGCCCCTCAGGTGTGGGGCTCAGGGAGAGTAGTTTTGCTCAAACTGACAAGGATTATCCTGAAAGCCACCCCCAAATCCTGGGGGCTGGAAGAGAATGGGAAGGATAAGGCACAGAAGAGAGGGTTTGACTCACCGGCCGCCCAGGGATTCCCATCGCACCTTTGTCCCCCTGGCAATTAAAGCAAAAATCAGAGGGAATTGGTAACTGGTCAAAAGCAAGACTATAAAACAGCACAACTGAACTAAGCCACAGCAGCAGCTTCACACCATGCTGCAAGTGCCCAGGGATTTTGAGAGGGAGAAGGTTAAACAGTAAAATGTGTGTGCGTGTGCCCAAACCTGTCTTTAGAATGTGTGGGGCACCAGTTCATTTCTACATATGACAAACCCACATATCTCACAACAGAAATTACATACAGCAACTTAGGCAGCAAAAGGAGAACAGGAGTCTCCAGTCAGACAAAGTACTATCCCTATTTCCAGCACCTCATAAAATCCAGGTCCTGGGAACTGGCTTCCTGCAGTGGCCAACTGTCACATTTTTCTCTTTCTTGACCAAAGTCATCTGGGTGTTAGCTATTTATTTATAGAGTTATCACTTTAAAACACAATTCTTTTAGGCTTAAAAATACTGTCCTGTCCAGAAGCAAGAGAAAAATGTGAGAACACAAGCTGACACAGGAAAAAGCATGTCTGGAAGAAGACATATGAGCAGCTGTTTTCAGTGTCCTCTACTCCTCTGAGATACTTCCCAGTGCATTGTCAGCATGTGAGTGATCCTAGCCATGGTTTTGGGAATGACTTAGGGTCAGGTGACAGTGGACAGAGCCTCGTAAACACATGAACATAGCACCAGTGACAATTTTCTTCACCCACTTACCTACAAGGCAGTTGGCTGCCTCTTACAGCTAAATTGGACTGTGCAATTACCAAAAAAAAACAAAAAAAAAAAAAAAATTACCCCCTCTGCATTCCTGGTCACCAAAACTGAAGGCTGTGCAGATCTGGAAGACAGCAGCTCATTGCTAAAGGATCTTGATGATTATGGCTTCAGCAGTCGTGTAGCTTTTACTCTATATTTTGCAAAAATGACGTGATAATAATCCCTCAGTTCTGTTTCCAGCGATGTTTGGGGTTTCCTTATGCAAAACAGAACGTTCCTGCCCCTGGCTGGCTGTGTCTGTAGACATAAACCTGGTTTTCTGGTTTCTGCAGCTGGAGACACCAGCCCCACGAGTGCCACCTCTCGATGCCTCCCCACACGTTCAGTCCCAGCGCGTGTGAACACAATCTGAGATCTCTGGGAGGGGAAGGCACTTAGCTCTGTTTGTCCTTCTGGGTGTACACAAAGGCTGTGTATCCCAAACTCAAACATCATTGCTTGGGACCAAACCATTCCCTGGTGGAAGCTCAGCCATTTCCCTCTGCAGAGCTGGGGGGGCTGTTTGGTGTGGGGGGCATTCCTTTCCAATGCAGCTTATGTTGTGAAAAACTGAAGAGCTGTGTACACTTTGCAAAAGCACCTCTTTCAGATACATGAAACCCTGAACAGCTGCTTGATTTCAAGTTTTGTTGAGGATATATTATGGGAAACTGCTTTCTTCTAGGGTTTTAGGTGTGTTCTCAGTCCTGCTAATATTTGCCTATCACTGTGCCAGCAGTGAGTGCAGCTCCTGGTGTCAGCATCTGGCCCTGGCATCACTTTGTGGCTGCTGGAAAACAAAATACTGAGCTTTCCTCTGCTTTTAGTCCCTTAAATGCTGCTTTCCTCCAGAGCCGAGCCCAGGCTGATTTCCCTGGTGGCTTTTGAGGTAAAAGCTGAATTTGCCCTTCTGTCTCTGCTGTGGCTGGTGCTGGAGCAGGAAGGGCCACGGGTCGGGGCTGAGCTGGGTCAAGTCCCCTGTGAGCACCTGGAGTGGTACATGACGGCACCGTGTCTGGAATGTGGCTACAGCACAGGGGGAGCTCCCTCCAGGACAGCAAATAAATGCCAGATGTTTATAAGGAAAGGTTGCCTGTGACAGGCAGCCAGGAAAGAGCACTTGGGGGTGGATGATACCGTGTAGGTTGGTTATAAAGTCATGAAAAGCTGCCTGAAGCTCCCACTCAGAGTTAAAAGAGCATGAAAGGCAAGCAGCAGCCCCTGTCCGGAGCCTGGGGAGAGCCAGCAGCACAGTTTGCATTTCCTGCACTGAGAAACTGCCTGGTATGGCTCGTGCAGGCTCCAGGTGAGCCACAGCCTGGGGAAGAGGGAACCATCACCAGAAAATCACACTGCTGTAATTCCAAAGCTCCTTCCTCAGCCATGACTAACCCAGATGCAGATACTGTTATTATGGATTTTTGCATTTGTCCCAAGGTGACTTAGGCCTTCTAAATCCTACTGCAACTAGCAAATCCCATCAGTGAGAACACTGAACACTTTGCCTCTCCAACCAGACCCTCAAAGACATCTTCAGAAGTAGTGTCTCCCACACATAGGAGGGTTCACGAGGATCATGCTACCCTTTAAGTTTGGACCTACAGAGCTCCTGTAGTCCCTACTCTGTATGGGCCATGTCCTGTTTGCAATATTCTATTCCATGTCCCATTTTTTATGCAAGTCTACTTTCTACCACCTTAGGAATGCTGGGGGCCTCCTGATCAAAGTACTGTCAGACAGAAAGAATGAGGGGATGAAACAGAAATCATGAAGTATTTACCAGGAGCTGTGGCCTTTCTGTGAGGCCCTGGAACAAAATACACTGAAACAGCAAAAGCCAGCCTCAAACTCCAAAAGGAGGGCTTGATAAAGACATGGAATCACATGGAAGTGTTTAGGAAACAGAATGGTTAAAAAAACTCTCCCCAGCTCCTTGACCATCAGCTCTGATTGCTTCGGTTTCCTAATCTACTGCTTGTGAAGTTCTCCCTCCTTTTGGCACGACTCTACCCACAGCTCTCCGCACGAGCTCTGAAGGTATCTGCAAGCCCACGGAGAACGAGCTAATTACAGGGCTTTGACTTTCTTCCTTAGTTTCCATCTGCTAAATATTATTTTTTCATGTATGGAATTGCTGCAGTTGCCACAGAAATGTTGCATGATCAGAAATGGGAGAGAAAATGTCCGTGAGAGGATCATTTGCTTCGGATGTGGTCCAGACAGCAAAAGGACTATTGCAGGATTTCATCACTTCCTTCCTTCACCCCTTTTAGTCCCAATCTCATCAAATATCTTACATGACTGCGGGTTGCCCTTGTCTTCACCAAAGCCCTCACCGACTTCAGGAATAAGAGTGGAAGTGTTCATTGGGCAAGAGAAGAACATGAAGTTCCCTTTTGCTGCTCATCCATTTCCCTGGCTCTTGTCCTTGTTGTCCTAGGCTGCAAGCAGGGCTCAGTGCATTTCTAACAAGAATTTCTGCCCCTTTCCCCACCCAAGCCAACACCTGCACTGGGAGCTAAGCCCTGTCACACAGTGTGTTGTGTCTTCTGCAAGCTGGGAAATGAAAATGGGAGAGAGATGTGGGGTGGTCATGGCTTTGGGGTCACTATCCAGAACAATGTGTATGACAACCAGCCAGGAAGGAGCTCAGGTTGCTGCTCATAAAACCATTTCCATCAGGAGAAATACACAGGGGTGGGGGAATACTTCCTATGGTGACGTGTAGAACTCACTTGGCTTTCCAGAGGTGAACTTTTGCTCACAGTGGCTGAGCAAAAGAGCACAGTGATTTCACCTGCCAGCTGATCAGAAACCCAAGAGGTCCTGAATGAGATGAGGGTCCTACTAGTCCAAGACAAATTCCACTTTGGCTGAGAGCACTCAGTCTGCCCAACTTCCTCTTCTCTTGTTATTTCCATTGGCTGTAGCATTCTCACAGCCTGTCCTAGAAGTCTGCTTGCAGAGACAGGTTCAGGGGTCGCAGTAAGCCAGGATACAGTAGCATATAATGTCAGCACTCCTCTGGTGGTCCCATGCGCTTCTGCCAGGCTTCAATCTCTCATTACAATATTAGGTTTCCACCCTTATTGCTGCAGAGGAAGCCTGGAGTGTGCGTCTTCCTCACCCCACAAAGGTACTGACTGCACTCTAGAAGACATCTGTGTTGATCTGGTGATTTTTCTCTAATTTCTCACATCAGAAATGCCAACACCACTGCCAATTTTGTGCCCACCACATGGGCTGCCCAGGCTGGATGGCAGGGACTGCCATGGAGGGACTCCAGTCTGGAGTTGCCTGCAGAGGTGTGCTCTCCTCCCAAAAAGCCACAGCTAATGCTGAAACAGCCAGTCCTGAGAGCCCCTGGGATGAGCTATCGCTGAAGTTCTGTGTGGATCAGCCCTTCCAGCTGTGAAATGCTTTCAGACCTTTTGGCCTAGAAGGTGCAACTTTTTGGAAGATTGCTGTCATTAAATAGGTCTGTGCTCGTATATCTGTGGGAGTTGAGTCTGATGAAAGGGCAAAGAAAATAGGTTGTGCAGCAACTACTACTGAGGACGTCATCTGCAAACTGTTTAAGACATTTTTGTGTGAACAGACAAAAGATGACTACCGTATGTGTAACTTCTCATGTTCCTCCACAGAAACCCTGAATAGTCCCTCTATTGTACAGGAATATAAACCATTTCCTCTGGAAGGACCCTGCTATGAGACAATGCAGTGTTTCTTTATAATCCTGAGAGATATCAATACATGGCTTCAGTCCTTGTGCTGCTGCTTCTGGTTCACTGTGGGTCTGGTAATAGCAGCAAGAAAATTTCTGCAATAACCTAGCTATTTTCCTGAAGCCTAAATTGTCTGTGCTGAGGTTTTACATTAGCTAACATTTGAAAAGGAAGCTGTCAACACAATTTTTCCTCTGAAATTGATCGTTGCACAGCTACACTTGAAGGCCCAGCAGCTCAGCCAGCCCGGGTGAGTAGCAGGGAACAAGTCCCTGCAGCTCAGCTCAGCTCAGCTCCTGCCATGTGTTTGTGATCTGTCTTTCCCTTTTCTGCAAACCCATCTCGCTCAGCACGTGGCATCCCATGCATGTGAGGCGCACACAGCCGGTTCCCCCAGGGGCCAGCTGCTAACACACAGATCCCTGCACCATGTGCATCTGCCCTGTCCCTGTCCCCTGTCCCTGCTGAGCTGCAGCCAGCAGCAATCCCACCCCAACCTAGCCCTGAGCTCCCCCAGTACTTGCTGTTTGGGATATGCCAGGACTGCAAAGGTGTTTGCCACACCACAGACAGGAGGCTGCAAGTTCATGCCCCCAGACTCCATGTCAAAGCTTCTAAAACCACAGAAGTTTGGTACTTACAGGTGGACCTGGAAGAGAGAAGAAAAATAAACAATAATTAATTTTACAATGTAATAAATCCTAACAAGAAGAGCTAGAAAAAAACATTGCACCATCTTTTGGGCTTTGTCCTCAGGCTGCTCCCATTTGCTGATGCACTTTCACCAGCTCCGTGCTTGCTCATTAAGGTATCCCCACAATAACCACCACGAGTGCAGGGCAGCCTCTGACAGCCCTGTCAGAGCCCTGTCTTGGGAAGGCCATGCAAGTCAGGCTCTTGACACTGTCCAACTCAGTTTTGGTCCTCCAGCACACATGAGAGTGGAGAACTCATTATTTATATAATTCCCCCTCACATGCTGCCCACCCATGGGGGCTGAGAAAGTTGAAAGTGAGGAGGCAAGAGCCCCTTTGCTGCTACAATTCCTACCCATTTCCCACCAGAATCAGTGATCTTGTGAAGGTGTGAAAAGATTAATGAGGAAACTACAGCTATTAAAGATATCAAGTACCTTTTCTCTTTAATACAAGCAAATTTTCCCCTTTTCTTCTGCCTCTCATCCGCTCAAAGCCAACCTGCCCTCTCGGAAGAAATTCCCTCAAATCCTTTGGGTTTCTTTTATTTTGGAAATCTTTTTTGGAACCTGCCAGTGTGGAGCACTGCATACAGAATGGTTGTACAATATATATCAGGGCTTAAACAGCACATTTCTTTCATCAGCTCCCAGAAAATTCCTCAAAATCCTGACAGATATTGTGTGTGTGTGGAAAGAAACCCCCGGACTCACTATTTTGTGGTTTCCTCTCTGTGGGAGAAGCAAGACACACCATACAACTGTCAGGGGTTTCTACATTTTCCATACTTTATGGACATTGTGTTTTTCGACATTGTGTTTTTCCCTCGCACAGAGTGCCAAGAAGCGAGGCTAAGCAGTAAAACAGGCGAGCTGACAGATAGCAGCAGCAGCAGCCTCCTCCTTGCACGGCAGGCGGATGTCACCACCAGCACCTGCAGAACAATCCTCACCCTGAAAATGCCCCTGGCTCAAAGGCCACTAAAGAAACTGAGACCCTGCATGAACAAACACTTTCCACATTGGAAATCTCTCTTAGTGTGACTCTCTCATACCAGGTTTGGTGACCTGAAACTGCCCTGTCAGATGCCACTGTTAGACGCAGCTTTCATTGCGGTTCATCAGAAGAGGTTACCTCTAGATAAAGTAACTTTTGGTTAAAATACAAAGAATTATAACCATCTTCATGATGGCTGACAGAGCTAAAGTCAACACTCCACAACTCAAAACAACTCCAATCAAATTTAGGACAGGAGCTCAGGGGCAATCCAGATTTGGCTGGCCTGGTGCTGATGCTGAGGTCGCTGTCCCACTTGCTACACCAATTCTAAACAACAAAAGGGTTTCTGATCAGACAGCTCATTTAGGAGGGCAAGGTCACACTGATGCCGGAATCCTAATTTATGCCAGACTGGGAGAAAAGAAAGGAAGAAAAGAAGAGAGAGTTTTCTGAGTCTGGCTTGGATCACAATAACATTCTGTGAGAGAACTGTTTTGGAGAGATTTTGTTTCAGACTGAGTGCCCTGACACAAGGTCAATGCTTATAGCTTGCCAATACACGGACTTTATTTCCATTAGCAGCACTTCAGACCCTTAATAACCCACCTACCTGTCTGCATGGACTTGGGGCTCTCATGGATTGCATGAACCAAACTGCTGAGCTGATATTAAAAGAAAAACTTAAGGACATGCAAACCCTGAGCCATGGCTGCCCTTCCAGCCCAAACACCACCACTCAGCACAGCCTGTAATGGCATTGCCATACCACTGAGAGCAAACACAAGCTCTTGTTTGCTGCAGAAGCTCCATCCACAGAGTGGAGTAAATCAGCAAGGCCGGAGCTCTGGGCCACACACCCCACACAGATCAAAGGCAGGAGGAACAGTGGAGGCCCATCTCTGCTATGTGCCCCCTATAAAATTAATGGTTATGGGAAGGGGACTGCACAGGCTTGTGTAAACACTCATCAGTGAGCTGCAGGGACACAGCCTTGGCTGCAATAAGTCAATCGGGAGACACCATCCAGGGACTGGGCTTCAAATGCCGGGATCGTCCGTGTGACCCAGGAGAAAGCAAAGCCCTCAGACAGAGTCATTTCCAAAAGCAACATCATCTTGCATGGGCTGGAGGAGGACAAGGAGGAGGAGGAAAGATGTCCCAAAGACAGCAGGAAGGGAGGACATGCTGCTGGATTAGCTGTTGCAAAGCATAGGGGGTTTTACGAAGCCGAATAAAGCTTCAGCAAAATGCTTTGGTCGTATTCTGTCACAGTGATAAATGACAAGGTGGAGCAGAGGTTCTCAAGTGGCTCAGTCCTTAATACAAGTAGTAAATTAATGCATATTAGAGGAAAGAGTGGATGGATAAAAGAGGATGGAGATACTTGAGCCTCTACTCTCAACAACTCCAACATCAGCAGTGCAGTGAGCTCAGTCCTGGCCAAAGCTCTGGCAGAGCTGCTCTGTCCCAGGCAGGCATGCTGACAACCCAGCAAGCCAAGGGAACAAACCCACAAGTTGACCAGGCTGCATGGGACCCTTTACAAAAGCCACCTGAACTGCAGCAGAGTCACCACACCACCACTGCATGTAGTCACACGTCTCTTGCAGGCCCAGCCAGTTTGGGGCAACCACGTGCAACCAGGCCTGCTTGCCCCCACATGGGCCAGCTCTTGGTGGCGAACTCCAAAGAGCTCCACAAACAACCAAAGCACAAATCACACCTATTGGGGGCTCCTCCTCTCCTTACAGCAGGCTCTTTTGGGGTGAGACAGAGGTGGTGCTGCACAGGACATGAGCTAGATCCCCTTTCCATATAAACAGTCAACAGAGAAGCGATAAAAGCTTCTGTGAACATCTCCAAGCGCAGCCAGCAGGCAGGCCCAGAGCTCCCAGATCACCAAACTCCTCAGCCCTGCACGGCAGAGAGCCCACAGCTGCGATCAGCACCTCCAGCTGCCGTGTGC